TTTGACCCAAAGCTCCCCATTTCTCAATTCACACAGGGCACTCACACAGGGAAGAGGGTAAGGGACTTGATGTGCCAATTCTGAACTGAGGGCAGTGCACAAAGCGGCGTCCTAACAGTTATTTGGTCACATCAACCGCCAGTTACCTGGACAGTTTCTGTGGATGGGGAAGGGATAAACCTGTCCGCTGGGCCATGAGGTTCCAGTTGGGCCCCCTTGCTTTCAAGTCTGCCTTTCTAGACAGCCTTGGGACAGCTAGACCCAACCTTGGTCTCAGACCTGGTCAGCGACTTACATTCTTTCACACAAGGGAACTTCTGCGCTGAGGCACGGGGTTCAAGAATATTTCTTTAGTCCCAGCCTTGGTCAGCAACACTGTGGAAAACACACACACTATTCCCCAGGTTTCTATATTCCTTAGTCTAGACTTTTCCTTTTACTCTTTTAATTGTAAATCGGTTTCATGCAAACCCTTTAGAGTGTCTGACAAGTTTTCAAAAGTTCGGATGGCGTAAGCTCGAACTGGTTTCCCGACCCGCACAGACAGTCCTCCACTTATAGCCCCTTTAGAGATTTCAAAAGGTCTCTTACCTTGATTTGGCACCTGGGATTTCGGAGGGGAATGGTCCGCAAGCCTGTCGGTACTCTCAGCCAGGCATTGCCATCCGAGTCATGGCACCAAGGATTGTGGAAGAAACAAGCTTCACTTTGTTGTTTGGTTTTGAAGTTGTCAGAGACTCTTTATTATACCTGCAGCTGCAGGGGAGGACACTGAGCCTCTCCCACAGACAGTTAAAGCAAGCTTTTATATGTTTCAATTCAGGTCACATGACACAAGATATAACAAGTCAAACAGAAAACGGGTTTGAACCAGAGAGCTGCAAGAGGGCATAGACTGTGGTTTGACCTATTGACCTCATAGGCCTACTTAACGTTATGGAAAATTTTCCAATGCACTTCTTAAACAGAAATTAAGGCCTGGGGTTCTCTTCTTCCACAGTGTTAGAACCTGAAGAATATTTTGAATTTCAATTTTGAATTTCAACTAACCAGGAAATCAGTCCTGTGGCATTCACACCAATTTTTTTTTTTAAATTGCAGAACTATCCCTGAGATAGTCTTGTCAACGTTTGTATTAATATATGAAATCCCAGTCCAAATAAAAATAGTTGCCACAATTTCTCTGCCTTTCTACCCCATTCTTTTTTATCTTGTGGTTTTTGTTTTATTTTTCAGGGATTTTTACCACCTTGTATCAGTGAAGAAGCCCCAAAACAAAATAAAAACTTGCTTTCCAAAAATTGCTTTAATCAACCTGTGAGGAATTATTTTGATGTAATAGTTTCAGGGATATCCATTTCCTTTAACTTTTTTCAAAGTAGTTATTAACCACAGGTCATTTCAGAACATTTTAATTCACATTCCTCTATTCTTTCTTGCATTCTCATCTTGACTAATGATAACTCAAAAAATCTTGTCACCTGTAGCTGCAAGAGAATTGTCCAACGGACAGAAAAGTATGAGTAAATTGGACAAAAAATAGTTTGTTTATTAAACGACTTAGACTTTGTGGCTCCAGTGGCTTTCCAGTTTCTCTGAAAAGGCTGTGTTTGTCCAGGGGTGGTTTGCAAATGGTGATGTAGATCAGCAGTGGACAACATTTTCTAGCAGTGGGCTGGAATGGCCCAATTTGGGTTCAGGGGAGCTGGTGCCAGGAACTGGCTGCTTCTCTCTGCTGCTGCTTCTTCACCCCACCTGGCAGCAGTGCACACATCCAGCTGCAGCACAATTCTCCGTGGGCAAAGCCCTCCACCATGAAAGCCCCGACATTGTGGGTAGGATCAAATGGCTCTTGAGCTCAGATATGCCCCATGGGTTGCTGCCCCAGATCTAGATGATGATAAATTACTTAGTATTTGTATATCACTTTTCAGCCACACATATCAAAATGGTCTTTAAATTAGGGAAAATGTTAGAGCCAGATATAGAGCCTGTCTTACATTTCCCAGTCCTGTGACATCCAAGCAACCCAGGCTAATTCTTCCAGTGAACAGAAAGTTCAGGTTCCATTTAAGCACTAAGGATATTCAAGGGGCAAGTCCTTTTTAAAGGCAACTTGCATCTGGTGAGGAGGAGGACGTTTTTGATTTGAAACAAGAGGAATCTCTTTTGTGCCTTAGCAAGATGACCCTAAAAAAATTGTAGAAAGGCCTGAAGATAAGTCTTGAAAAAAAACCTGCTGCAGGTAAATATTAGTTCAGGCTGTTTAGCTGAATGCTGTTAATTTGTCATATAACTAAACTGTTTCTTTTGTTCTCAGAATTTCTGTCTAATGAGAATCCAGATCAGTGATTCTCAGTGAGGATGCTGTAGCACCCTGGGGTGCTGTGAAATCCCCTTCAGCATGCCATGGGGTACCGCACAATATTATTGCTGCTTGGTGTGCAGGCACCTACATGTGATTCACAAGATTTCAGATAGGAATTCACAGTATCAAGAGTATTCTGATCGGCTGTGGTCCTTTTGAGTCCTTTGCTAAAGAACTGACTGCTCTGTTAGTTTCCCCTAGTCAAAAAAGAAGTGAACACTAAGGGCTGGCATTTTCCAAGGAGTGCCTTGAATCTAAAAAGGTTGAGAACCACTGATCTAGATCCTTCAGAGATTTGTGGAAGAATATCTGGTTGGTGTGCACATCCTAAGACTGACCGGAGGCGGCATTTGTTTTAAATGTGTTGAAGTAAGCCCTTTGCTTACAAAAAGCTTTCCAGTCCAGTGGAAAAAGTTAGGCCAATGTTTCCCAACCTTTTCTAGCCCAAGGCACACTTATATTAATAAAAATTTTCTGTGGCACACCTGTTAAGGCATTCCCCATCCTCATACCTATCATAGCTCTTTGCTTGACAAAATTCTGCGGCATACCTGTTCATTTCGGACAGTGCACTTTTGTGCCATGGCGCACTGGTTGGGAAACACCGAGCTAGTCTATAAGGTGCAAAAATCTACCGTGTCTTCTTCCTGACTTCAGCCTAGCACTGCTGACTATATCTCTTGGGCCTTGATAGGCATCATTCCTCAAATTCAGCTAGCAGCAAAGTTTTATCCCCCTGACTCCCTAATTTTCCAGGTTTCCTTGAGCATTTCTTTCTCTCTCCACTTCTTGTGCCCCACTTGAAGGGATTTGGAAATCCTCCCTTGTATCTGTTATCTTAAAGAAATTATTTGGACATTTGCGTCGTTTCTGATGCGACTGTCCACCGCAATTTCTAATAAAACGGTATTATCACCTCTGAACCCAGAGTTCTAGATGTTTGCATTGCTTTTTGTCTCAGACCACCACGGGCACCAAATACAGGTTTCCCTCACCAACTATGATTTGGAGTATCCACGCTTAATACTCTATATACCATTTTGGCTACCACGGCATGGTTTTGAGTAACCATGGTTTTCCATGGCCATGCATCAGCCCGTCACCTGCCATTTTCCCCATAAGCCTTTTGTCTTGCCAACCATGGTTTTGCGGACCATGGGAACTTTCAGGAACCTAACCCCAGCGGTTGGCGAGGGAAACCTGTACCCCACTGTCCATGGGTGACTGGTGCCTCCCAAGTCTGGGGGGGCTCCAGATGGCCGATGAGGGGCAGGGGGGTTGATTGCTGAGCCTGGACCCACCAGTGCCAAAACTGGCAGTGCACTTCGGCCGGTACGTCTGGGTTTGGGGCCGGCGCTTCCAGGGGGGGGTGCGGCCCATCTCAGCCGTGTGCACCCCCTATGCCTCGCCAATGCCCCTATCCACACAACGGCTTTCTTAAGAGGAAAATAAAAACGAAAAGAAACGGCCAAAGGACTGCAAAAAAAAAAAAAAAAGGAAAAGAAAAAAAAAGGTTTATTATTATCCTCCGTTTTGTGCTACTCACAGAAGTTCAGTTCTGCTCTAGACACCCCGCCCCCCCCAAAAAGAAAAGCTTTGTGCCTCCTGCCTTTCCGAGGTGCAAGAAACCTGCACCCTTCCCTTTGTCAGAAAGTGCCCGGCGTGCCCCGGCCTCCGGCGGGGCGCGAGGCAGGTCCTGTCGGGAAGCCGGGCTCTCCCTCCCGTTTCCTGCCGTGATTCGGGCTCTTTGCCCGCCGGCTCCCGGCTCTGACCTCCGTGGCGCAGAGCGGCTCCTTCTCCCCCTGTCCCCGGGAGGGGAAGGCATTGCAGCAGCCGGGGAAGGGGGGGGGGAATCCCCCAGCCCTGCTCGGGGAGGGCAGCGGGAGGAGCCGGCTGCGTGTGCGGAGCTCCCGGCCGCCCTGTTTCCTGGTGCTCTGCTCCCTGACCCCAGTGGCAGCGCCTCTCACTGCACCGCTCCGCGCTGCCCGGCTTCCCTGCTCTCCCTCCCGCATCCAGCCTGCTCTCCTTTTCTTTCTTCCTTTTTTTTTTCCCACCCCCTCTCCTTTCCACTCCAGCCAGCCGGGAGGGGGGGCGGGGGACACCCGCGGGGTCGAAGGTTTTGCCCTGCCTGCACCGCCCTCCACCTCCCAGCCTTTCTCTCTCTCTTTAAGCACCCCCGCCCCCCCCATGGATCGGCTCCTCTCCCAGCACTGAAGGCATCCCTAGGACACACATCATCACCAGCCCGAAAGAGCAAGGTAAATCCAGCCCGATGACAGAGCGAGGGGGACGAAATCCAAAGGCACCAAAAAAAAAAAAGAAGAAGAAGAAGAAGAAAAAAGCGTCATAACCAAACACAAAGCCCCGGGTTAGAGGCGCCTTGTCACATCCAAGTGCAAGGGGAGCGGGCAGGGCGCCGCGCAGCAATGCTCGGGATCAGCCGGGCTGCCTCCCCCCGCGCCCGGGTTTTGTTTGCTGTGGGGTTGTGGCGGAGGGGGAGCTGCCCCCCTGCTGCCTCCTGCTTGCCGGGGAGGGAGGAGGGGGGCGGCAGGGATTTGGCAGGCGAGGAGGCGGCAGGGGATGCGTTTTGCTGCCTGTTTACTAGGAGGTCTCGGGCGCTCGGGGTTATGATGTTAGAGCACGACCGGGGGAGGGTAGGCCAGGGAGCATTGTGCTGGCTGGAGACACCGAGGAAACGGCAGCTCCAGCGGGCGAGACGCAAAGTACAGTCGCAGCCAGCCTGAAATGTAGCGTTTGTTACCATTTTCTGCATGGGAAAAGAGGGTGTTTTTTTGTGAGGGGGGTGGGGGGGGTTTTTGGTGGGTTTTTTCCCTCCCTCCTCGCCGCACATAAGTCGGGAAGGGGCGCTTCAAGAAAAGTAGCGATTCCAAATCGGTTCTTTTTCTGTTCCCAGCCGGAGTTCCTGTCTCTATTTCGCGTGCATTTGCAAGCGTGCTTTGAAATCCCGAGCCCCGAGGCCTCGGCCACTCGGAAACCTTTTGGAAAGGGGAGATTTTTTGGGGTGGGGGGGAGCAACTGGGGAATTGACAGCGACAGTCAAAGCGATCGTGGGGGGGGTTCGCCCCCTTGATTAGGCAGCTCGGTTTTCTTCTCATCTCCCCCCCCCCCCCCAAAAAAAAAAAAATCATTTCTGTTTTCATTGCAAAGGGGGGAGGGAACAAAACGGAGCTTTATTTCACGGAGCAGGGAGGCGAGAGGATGTAAACTTTATGCACGCAATTTTTTTTTCTTTTTTGCAGAAATGCTCCCCCCTTGGCAATCATAAACACAAGAGCAGTTGCATCAGGAGCTCTCAGGGCGGGTTTGTGCTTCCCCAGGGTCCCTGGGGTGGTGTGTGTGTGTTGGATCTGGGTGTGTATGTGTGTGTGCATGTGTTTGATTGCTGTGTGTGGGGGGCTAGTGTGTGTGTTGGATCTGGGTTTGTGTGTGTGTGTGTGTGTGTGTGTTGGATCTGGGAGGGGTGTGACTTGGATCTTGGGGTGTGTGAGTGTGTGATCAGAGGTTGTGTGTGTTTGATTGGTGTATGTAGGGGTGTGTGTATATTATATGTGTGTGATCTGGGAGGTGTGTGACTTGGATCAGGGTGTGGGGGGAGTGTGTATTTGATCCATGTGTGGGGTGTATGTGTGTGTTGGATCTGGGTGTGTTTTTGTGTGTGTGTTTGATTTGGGAGGTGTTGGATCTGTGTGTGTGTGAGATCAGGGTGTGTGTGTGTGGGGGTGTGTGTTTGATCTGTGTGTGTTTTTGATGCGTGTGTGTGTGGGTCTAGGTGTGTGTGTGATCAGGGTGTGTATTGGGAGTGTGTTTGTGTTCTGGGGGTATATGTGGGAGTGTGCCTGTGCGTTTGATCTCTGTGTGTGTGTGTGATCTGGGTGTATGTATGGGGGTGTCTGTGTGTTTGATCTGTGTGTGTGTTTAATCTGAGTGTGTGTGTGTGACTGTGTTGGATCTGGGGATGTGTGTGTGCAGGTTTGATCTGGGTTGCAGTGCCAGCAGCTGTAGTAGAAGGGGAAGATCGGATGGGATGAATGACGTGGGGGGAAAGGGGGATGTTATACAAAAGCCAGGATGGTGCGGTGTCAGAGCCATTGGCCACTGATTGTGATCAATCAATCTGAGCCTGGGAAAAGGGGGGGGAGGGGGGAGAGGTGGAGGGAGAGAAGAGGCAGAAGGGGAGAGAAAGAGCGAAGCACTCAACCCAGCCTGGACTCAGAGCAGTCAGCACAGGGGTGCCCAGAGGGAGCCCAAGCCAGCAGCCGGGCATGGACTGACTGAGAAAGGAGGTAGTGTGTGCACACTGGTACCACTCAGATGCCTCTGTCGCCTGCTCTGAGTGCCACACAACTAACTGCTTTGGCAACTGGATGATTTAAACTGAGGGATCCGCTTGCCATGGCGTTTCAGGCATGAAATGGGGGGAGTTGATAGTGTGTGCTGTGGGGAAGGAGGGGAGAACAAGGTGGTATTTAGGACTGTTTCAGCGTGGGTTGTGACTGGGGGCTCTATGGGGCCAAGCCTTGTGTGCACATCACTGATGTGTTGGTTGTTGGTTGTAGCTGTGTTGGTCTAAGGACATAGGCAGACAAGGTTCTTTGGGTAGATGTGATATCTTTTATTCGACCAACTAAATACTTGAGAAAATAGTTTTTTGCAAGCTTTTAGGCACAAACACCCTTCTTCAGGCATAGGGAGAGTTTGCTAACTTTTCATGCCTCTGGCTCACCACATCTGGGAAAGTTTCCTTGGGAGTGTGTAGAGAATGGGGAGGATGCCTGGTTTTGGGGGGACGGCAGGGGAAAGAATTGCAAAGGTACACTTACACATCAGACTGGATGCCATCCACCAGACTGGGTGCCAAGGCTGAACTTGGAGGTGCATGAAAAGTATAGCGGGGATTTTAGCTAGTTGTTAAATAATCACCAGTATGCTGTCATAAACTAGGAGAGACTAGATAGGCATCTGATTTCCTCCTAGGTTATTGCTGAGGCCAATGCTTGCGTTTGTATTTATTTAATGTGTTGTTTGCTCTGTCAGTGTGGGTATATAACAGATACCGAATGCCTACTTGAATAAAGATTGGCACTAAACCTCTTTATTTAACCCTTCGATCATAAAAGACTTCCGAATCTGCATAAGCCAAGTACCAGTCAAAGGGGGAAGTGTTGATTTTTCCCGTTGAGGATCCAGATGTGTTTATGTTTGAGGGGGATATATTTTTCATACCCTTCCCTGGAAAGTGCCTTTGTGTGTAATTTTATTTCCGTTATATTCCAAATGGAATTTTAAACGCTGCTCAGTCTGAACTACCCTTCCATGCGTTGATCTCTTGACACTGTTCAATTTTGTTATGTTCGATGAAAAACCAAAATGGGCTGTGGGGCAGAATGTATATTACGGTCCATTGCTTTAAAAACGGTCAGTCTTGTTGTATGTTTTATCAGTTTTAAAATTAAGCAGGTCTGTACAGTAGCATATGTCTTTGTAACATGCTAAATCCTAAACACACCCTGAAAGATGATTATTGTTATTTCCTGAATAACCTCTGACATGTCATTAGCAAAGCACAATATACTAAAATACTTTGCTTAATAGTTTTACGATCCTGTTTTTCGCCTAAAAATTATATGGTTAGAAATGGCTAAGAGTGCACACACCATGTTGCACTTGACAGCAGTGAAAAAAATGCAACTGTTCTTTTGTGCTCATCTTTTGTATGTAATCTCAGTGAGTGCTCACTGTTAGAGGGGTGAGAAGAAGAGTAGTGATGAAAAAAAAAGTTTTTTTCTTGGGCCTCATAAATTTGTTTATGGAAGTTTTAAAGCACCGTGCATCTGTTTGACAATGTCTTCAAACAACTTCTTATTAAAGAAGAGACTAATCAAACACCTGATAGGTGAGCTGTATTGCTATACAAAACCATTAAAGTGGGAAAATGGAATTGAAGAAGTTGGGAGCCCAGTCACCTATTTGACTTTTTTCAAGTTTTATGTTTGTTAATGTCCTTCTGTTTAAAAGGATGCCTTATTTATAGACAAAAGATTAAATGCTATAGGAGGCCAACTTTTGTTTTTACTTTTAAAATAACAAACTCAGCTTAAAAGTATTTTGTCTATCCAGTGCTCTCTTAACATTTGTTTTATGCCAGTGTGCAAAAATTCTATTTTTGTAATAAATAGATTGAAAAAAGAGATACTTAAGAGAGACTTATTTTTATATGTAATTCATTCTAATGAGCAAATCAATTTTTTTTTCTGAGTTAACAGCAATATGAAATTTAATGTCCTGACCTTTGCTTACACTAGACTAGTAAAATCACAATGGCTTAGCTTTTCTAAAGAACTAAGCACATTTTTTGTGGTTGCTTTTATGTTCTTGTTTTACACAGTGGATTTTGATTGCAAAAATAAGATTGGACATGTAATTTCCACGTTACTTCCTAATTTATGCAAACGCTGAAATTCTTGCTGTATAAAAATGCGTATTTTTTTTCTTCATAAGCCTTGATGGCTAGCATTCTTTTTAATGACAGTCATTTTTCTAACAGGAAGATGTTTTCATTTGTATTTACTTTTCAGTGCAGTGCAATTATGCAGTTCTACGCTGCACACTCTTCATAGTCTGCATCTCAGAAGAATTACAGTACTTAGAACAGGACTGCAATTTGAAGCAGGTGTTGTGTTTTACTGTTATGCAAAATAACAGTAAAATATAATTGTGAGGGAAATTAAGGAAACAGCTGCAAACTTAGTATGGAAACCACTACATTATGATTAGTAAGCAGTTGTTACACATATCTTACATCACACTAGCAGAGTTGTAAACCTTACCTTGCTGATTTTCTCCTGCCATTTCTAC